GATGATGATGTGCATGCAAAATTAATAGATATAGCTCAGGAGGTATTGTCATTTACACCAAATGAAACCTGTGAAGAATTACCTAGAAGTCATTATAAAAAACTGTTTAAATTAATTATAATATTTCTAGGAGGAACACCTTCAAAAGGTATCTTAAGGCTCTGCATATAATGGGTATGCTATGCCACCATTTTGCGACTCATTTATCAATGATAAAATTAAAAAATAAAGAGGTTAAATTCATATTCACATATCATTATTAGTCGCAAAATTTGTAGCATACCTAGTATCTATAGTCTATTCACAATGAGATCATTACTCGGCGGCGACCAGTTTTCGTCGGGCGGCAGTTAGACATATGGTCAGATGCTGTAACCACTACGGTGACTCGTCGGGCCCTGCAACACAACAAAGCCAAGCCCATACGCATAAATAGGCCGCTGAGTAATGATCTCATTGTGAATAGATTATATAGTGCTCTAGTATCTATTGCTATGCACGGATGACTCCTCTACTCCGCCCCCTACGCATAGTTATAATTCGCAATATATAATATACTATATATTAGCTCATACAATAGTCAGGATGATGTCAGCATTACGACAAGAACTTGGGAGAGGAATAGTTATAAGTAATAGTCACAGAAGGTCATCACCAGAGCTAGTAAGGTAACTGTGGGAAATCCTCGGTGTGTAGTAGATTATGTGAATCGGACTTGGCACTGTGACAAGACTACGCGAGTAACTACCACGCATTGATCATAGAACTAATAGCCAGCAACAGGCACATCTGCAACCCTGAGTCACAGATCAGCACATGCACTATGAGTATAGTCAACCAGTTGATTATGGAGGGCGACCACACGGATTGTGGGAAACAGCGTCACAAGTCGCCAGGAATAAGGAGGAGGGATAGGACTATATATTAGAAACCGAAACGACCCATCCCCAGACGTGATTCCACACTTTATGTACGAGCACTCCCACACCAGACCTCTGTAGAAGCACTCTTTCTTTTGAATTAGATTATTTCAGTTAACGACATTTTTCGGAACTTAGAAAGTATTCGAGCAATTACTTATTTTCTAACGTACCAGCGATCTTCGTTGATTCAAATAGTCTTATGACATTATCTTATACATTTTAATAAAACAACAATTTTACACCAACAATTGTCAAAAATTATTACAACTACCATCATCCTGTCACCGTCTCTTGTAAGGGGGTGTACGCAACACTATTTTCGAGAGCCGAGAGCCTATCAAATTGGCTATATGGATGGCCAAACCATAAACTGCTTAGAATATAGACAACAGTATAAATTAGTAAATAAAGAGGAATTGGCAATTAAAGAAAAATGTTGCTTTATTATTAAACGTTACGCACAGCAATGGTTTAGTTGCATGGATGCTATTGGTGCACAATTGAATATTATATTTCTAAAAAAATTTGAGTCATACAATAATAATAATAAAAGTGTTTTAAAAAATGTATTAACCATTTATGGTATTTAAATGATGAATGTGTAATATTTTAACTATTTGATGAGCGAGCAACAATTGAAAAAAAAAAAATAATAGTGAAAATATTTTTTAAAAAAAAAACGATCAAGAAATAAAATGTATAAAAAAGTTTTTACAAAAACCGGAAGAAATAGACGATTTTATAAATTCTGATTTGCCAACAAATGTATTCACACAATATTCAATAAAAATATTTTCTTGATTCAGCATTTCTACTGATTTTTTACAAATAGATAAACATCAAACAGGATATTGTTAAATCAGTGGTTAATTAATTTAGTAATGAAGCACATCTGGTAGTAGAGAGTGATGCATCTGATTTTTCTTTAGCCGTGACACTAAGTCAGAGTGGTTGGTCTGTGGACATTTTCTAAAGGAGTCTCTCTGAATGTAAAAAAAGATACTGATCTATAGGGAAAGAAGCATACGCAATCATAGAGGCCATGAGAAAGTGGAGGCATTTTGTTATTGGAAAACATTTCAAACTTGTAACAGACCAGGAAGCAGTTCAGCATGTTCACTTTTGCGCAAGTGAAGCGTGCCAAATAATTCCTAAACGCTGTGAACATTTAGGTAGAGTTTATTTATTTTTTCAATTGAGTTCTAAAAGAAGTGCCTAATTTGTGTAATATTAGGATTTTGTTCAACTCCATTTCATAAACTTTTACACCCAAGTCAGACTATGTGGTTGTCTTTGCAATTGGTATTATCAAAACTAATCAAACAATGGAATCCATTCATGTCCTAAAGTCTCAAAAAAGATACTTGTTTTAGTGTTTTAAAATGATTAAATAAAAAAGTGCTTAACTATTAATACTTGAAAACATGTCTAAAGAAGGAAACATTTACTGTTGTAAATATTCAATATTTCTGTTCTTGTTTATTGTTTATCAAATAAAGTCTAACTATATGAGGAAAATCAGTTGAACTATGGCTATGTATTAGAAAAAGTAATAGCAATTTAATAGAAAATATGATAATTATTGATAAAAAATTTGGTTTTGAGATAATATGAACATTTTTTATAATAAACTATAACTTAATAAATATTTGTAAAATATTTGTAACAAGTACCAAGGTATAAAATTATAGTTTTACAAATTTTTACATGCATACATTTTATATTTTGAATTGACAAGTTTTTACATATTTTTTTATTTGACAAATTTTCATCATTTTTTTATTGACAAGCAAATAAATAACAAATAGAAAATAAATATAATAAATGGCAACATTGCACATAAAATCGTACGGAATCGTGTTGTTTTTGGGGTTAATTTGACAATCCATTGTTTGATCAAAATCGTATAGAATCGTGTTCTCAAAAAGGTAAATCGTGCTTTACCGAATATTTTGACGGGACAAGCTGTCCTTAATTCAAAAATGATTTAAAACGTATATCAAAAATTAAAATAGTTTAAACCCTATCGACTGATATAAAAATCAGTGAAAAATATTCATTATTGCTGAAACGGGAAGGAATTCCAGAAACACAGCTTGACTGTTCACACGAGATAATACCACTTTAGGTTGAAGACAACCTGGTGGTTAGTGGTTAATTTGGAAGTTCTCTAGGTTCAATGGAATGAAAATTATTTTCTGGTAACCTCAACATGCTGTGGTCTCTAGAACTAATCATTGACATAGTAGTTGGTGGTCTATAGTTAGAACTTGAAGATGCCCTGTAATTGAAACTTGCTTATGGCCTAGATTTAAGTGGAGCTATATGTGATGAATTGGTAATACGAGAGACATTAGCACCAGCACGATGCCCTCCAATGATAATGCGTTTTACAAGTTTTAAAAACATATTAAATTCAATATCAAATGTCCGGTGTAATATCCTTATACACCTTCAAAAAATCATTCAATATACTGTGAAGTGCAATAGTTTTCTCTTCTGTAATGAATCAGTTGTACTTGTTTGGTTGCTCATCTTGAATTGGTATAGCTAAAAAAAAAAAAAAACAGTTAATACATAAACGAATGAAGAATGAAATTATTTATATATTTTTAAAACTATTATACCTAGCACAGTTCAATTATAAGTACTATTACCAGAGTCGTAAATTGGGGGCTTAGGGGGGCATAGCCCAACCCAAAAAATTGTACAGCCCCCCTAATTTTTAGTCTTCTTCAAATTTCAGATTTTTGATAGAAGAAATAATTCAATTTATTACGAAATTCCTAAGCAGGATAGCCGATAGGTATATGATGATATTATGAACTTTTAAGCTATAGATTTTGTATTATAATAAAATTAGAAATGATTTAGAATTAATATGTATTATTTTATAACGACATCAATAACTGGTTATGTAATAATATGTCTGCTCGAAGTTCGAAGTATATTAGATTCTTAGGCCCTTGCGTCTATTAAAATCGCTAATCAGTAAAAACACAATATTTTATATTTATGTAAAAACACAATACAAATAACAAGCTGTTACGTTTAAGAAATCTGAAGTAATCATTTTGTAAGCTACAACAGTAAATGGTGAACACTAAGCCTAATCAGTTATTCAGTTATTGTTGAGCAGCCGGTGTTTTTTTCTGTAGTAAAAATGTAATTAATTAACTGTTAAATATTAATTTTACTGTGAGTTATGAGTTTGTGACCATGAGGAAACAACGTGTGTTTGATATTTTCAATTATCAGATAAATTAAATGGCTTAAACAACTCTAAATTTAAAAATGATTGATAATGATTCGGATAGCGTTGATTCTGATTTATTAGCCCTCTCTAGCTTTCTAGCAGCACATCGTATTTAAATGAAACCGACTATGAATCTACTAGCTATATCTACAAACTTATAAAAAATGAAGAAAAAATTGATCTTGGTTATTTGCAGTCCGGTCCAATAAGACCAGTTTCTAGGTAATTATAATAATTATAACATTACATAGTGTAATTTTTATTACTTATTAATAATGCTTAATAGAAACTAATCAAATATTTTTTAATGTTTTTCAGTCTTACCCTATGACCAAATTTGAAAATCAAAACAGAAGATTTAATGCTTCATATTTTAACGAACACGATTGATTAGAATACAGTATACAAAATGATACTTTATAATTAATATTGCTTTCCGTGTCGCAATTTTGGTGCCAACGATAATGAAGGAATATTTTCAAAAACTGGCTTTAGAAACTGGAAAAAAGTATGTATAATAATAATTATTATAACCTATAATAACAAATTATAGCAATTTTATTTTTAAAGCTTTTAACATATAATTAGATTTATTTAATTTAATGATTGTTAAATTGTATATATTATTAACTATTATATTAGTATAGGGATGGCCAACAGAAATTACCTTTTGGGCCACTTTTTAAATACATTACAATCCTGAGGGCCACATATAGGGTTGCCAAAAGAAAAAAAAATGTCATCAGCCTAAATATTATTATAATCACATATTTTTATATTTTTCACCGATAATACTTGAGAACATAGATTTTGTTGATGACTCAATAATGGATTATAAATAAATCATCTCTTTTCCAGAAATTATTAGTTTTTCTGGTAGATTCTATTTTATCGATCAGTAATTGTATAACTCCTTTTACTTTACCAACCATATCAGGTGCACCATCAGTTGATATTCCAGAAATAATTTTCAAATCTAAATTG